TGTACTGTCCCGCACCAGGCTTCGCAACCACATCACTCCCACCCTCGCTCGCCTCCACTGGCTCCCCATCCCCCAGAGGATCGAATTAAAGATCCTCATCCTCACCTACAAGGCCATTCACGGCCTTGCTCCCTCCTACCTCTCCGACTTACTATCCCCCTACCTACCTGCCCGTATCCGCCGTTCCTCTGGCTCCGGTCTGCTCCACGTCCCCCGCCCCAACCGCCCTACCATCGGTGGTCGGGCCTTCAGCCTCTCAGCCCCGAAGCTCTGGAACTCTATCCCCCAGTGCCTTCGCCGCCTCCTCCCTTTCCTCCTTCAAGGCCGGTCTCAAAACCTTTCTCTTCAAACGTGCCTTCAGCTCCCCTCTCGACTCTCTACCCCCTCCTCGCTCCCTCCCTTCCCTCCCCTCACCCTGACCATTTCCCCCCTCCTCGCTCCCTCCCTTCCCTCCCCTCACCCTGACCATTTCACCCCTGCTCGGGTCCCAACCCAATGTCCAGCGCCTTGGGACGTCCTCCCGACGTGAAAGGCGCTCTATAAAAGCAATCTTGTTGTTGTTGTTGACGTCTCAAAGCGCTTACGCCTATTCCACCAAGACGAGAGCACTATCCCCATTCTGCACGTTGTATGGATTTGAAATATTAACATTTTCACTGAAGTACAAGTTCTCCATATATTTATTTATTCCCAAAGATAAAACAGCTGTCATTACATTGGTTCCAAATGAGATGCACAAAATTTCAAATTACCAATGAATTAAATAGGTTTGTCTATTTATGGTTAAGTAGCAAATCGTACTTCACCTTGTGGTACTTGCTCTAATACCCTAATTTGTATCAAGCCAAAGTAATTCCCTAGGAATATCTATACACATTAACACAGGGTATTAACACAGGGATTGGTACATAGGATTACCACAACTAGAGGAATAACAAATGTAAAGATTCATAGATTTATGCCTTGAATGTGCAATTATTGAAGTAGTGCTGGTACTCACAATATTTCCCAATGTATTTTAAGAACAAATCTTAATTTATGGGTGTGAAGTTCATGATATCTTTCATGCCAAATCTGCATGGACAAACTTGTTGTCAGCATAGCTGAATGCATTTGATTATCATACAGGAGCAACTCTATTGGATCAGGTTATCCAGATTTGTAGGAACTTTTGGATCAGGAGGTTCGTTATCCGTGCGATAACGTATACGGTAAACGTGTGTGCATACTGTGCACATCAGGGAGCCTTCCGAAAGCAGCAAGTGTGCCTTATCAGGGAATGTGCGGGCGCGCACATGGACATGGTGTACACAGGGGAGATTCCTGACTGTGTTAATGGGAGCGTCCCAAAAAATGTGTGTAGAACCTATGTATGGTGTAGGAATGTACCGAAAACAATGGAATGTTTTTTGTATCAGAAAATGCTGTGTTTGTTTTGGATTTCTGTGGTACTAAATATTACATTACAAATAAATATATATTTTCAAAAAAAGTGGTTCCGTTAACTCCAGTGTGGGCAGACTGGTCAACCTCTCTCCTACAAACAAAATGACTGAAAGGAGAGTCACCTCAGAGTATGCTCACCACAGAGGCTTTTGAGTGAGTTACTCAACCCTCTAGGCCACAGGATTCAAAAACAGAGGCAGGAGGAGGGGTGGAAAATCCCAAATGAACAGAAGAGTTATGGATAAAAGGCAAAAACAAACATTTAAAAAAAATGTAATGCAATTATTTTAAAAGAATTGATACGACCTAAATCAACTATGTTTTTTCAACATTTGCATTCCAAGTCAATAGCGGGTTTGATCAATGTTTTGTGTACGGTTCGCTAGAGTATGATGCAAAATCAAATAGGAATTTTAAAAGATACGTAAACCAGCACGTGTTGGCGTTCTTGCTGGACAGATAAGTTCAGCGATATTAATTGCACATGAAGTGTGAGTAGTGAATACATTCCTACTGTCCACACTACAGGGAGGAGGCACAATAAAACCTATTAAATTATATTCTATTAACTTTAGGGCTGCTCCTCTAGAATAGCTGCCTGAATGCAAGTGAATCGGTTCATGATCCCACAATCCAGACAAAATGGCTGCTAACAATAGTCATCCGGAAGATTTCAAGACTTTTCTGGTCAATGAATGCCTGGATGGGAGATCAATGCAGGGCAATTTACAATGAAGCAGCCACCCTGGTGCTCTTAAAGTTCAAGTCCAAAATTTTGTACAGGCTGACTTGGCACCAACTTCCATTATGGACCTATGCTGAACTGGGGGACTTCAGCAAAGGCATTAGCCCAAAATAGCCCTCACCGACCGAGAAGAGGGTGTGGGGAACAGCCAGGATTCCCACTTTAGATCAAAATCCAGTCACCCATACTGGAAAGTGCACGTGGGAACTTTGGATAAGAACAGGATGACTTCCACTGTCGAACATTCACTGCCCAGGCTCACAAGTGAATAGCCACTGGTGGGGTGTCAGAGGCCATGGTACTATACCCCATGGTTCCATGAAGTGGATAAAGGAAAAAAAAAGCTACCGAAAGAGTCTAGGCGATGCAAGAAGGTATCGTATTTAGGCAGTTCTCTCAACCTGGCAAAGAACAGAAACTTTTCCTCTCCCACCTCTGCACCCAGGAGAAATGTAGTTCTGCTTCAACACAACAACTTGCATTTATATAGTGTCCCTCACGCAGGGTAGCGAAACCAGAGTGTTTAACACCACACAAGCAGAATATAGTAGAACTCCCAACGTAAGAATTACTTTTATACCATTACAACACAGAAAAATTCACTCTGTACTGTACAAAGTTAAACAGTACGCAATGACATAATTCTGTCAGCATGATATTATTGTCAGAGTAAGAACATGCAGTGCACTCTTCCCCTTATACAGCAAGTGGAATGATGCCAGCTCAGTAATGAGTCAAGGAATACTTAGCATTTGATCCCTGTGTTTGTCTCACCCATCATTTCTGTGTACTCATCCAGTGGAACGTTTTACATCATTCACACAGAAAAAAAATGATCTCATGCACTAAAGGTCTAGTATGGTGCAAGCACTCAAGATTCTTGTGCGAAGAACAAAACAAAATATAACTTGATGAAGAGAATCCCCCTTTCCTTCCCTCTCCCTCCTCGCCCCCCCCACCCCCCACACACAAATTAGAGACAAACAAGAGTGGTTTTACTTCAAATTCTCACAGCGCTTGAAATGTCATGCAAAGTTACCATATTCCAGAAGGGAAAGCACAATGTATTATTATAAAAACAATCCTGACTTTGGTTTGAGCCCAACCATAACCCAATACTCAAATAGAACAGGACTGGAAGCTGTATTCTGGAATAATCATTCATTATTTGAAAGGTCAATCTAGCATAGGGGAATGGTCACTAACTAGACACTGAATTGGCATTTTTCTATAACATAATGACCAATTTCATTATTTTACAGACGGAGGGCACAGTAACTAAATTCTCTGCTCACTCAGTTTGACTTAGTTTTACTGATTCCCAGCCAGTTAGGGTGCAAATGTGCTATTTGCACATTTGCAATTGTAGTATTTGCTACTTGCTGCTGTGTCTGACCTTAGGGGAATGGGTGTTTGGGATCCAGTGTGGCTATTGTCATGATAATCTGGATGCTTTTGTGCAGCTGTATATTGGAAGAAAATGCCCACCACACCTTGATGAAGTTACTTGCTTTTCCTGTTACCTGTAAACATCATTATGGATCACGTATTCAAATTTATTCAACATTTTGGCAAGTTCAATAACCATCTGTGTTGTTGGAATTGTTTCAGTGGATTGTCCCATGACAGGCTGGGAGAAAATGTACGAATGGTTAGCATTTTTAAGTTATTGTGCTGCTTTGATCCTGTGTTTGTCTCACCCATCATTTCTGTGTACTCATCCAGTGGAACGTTTTACATCATTCACACAGAAAAAAATGATCTCATGCACTGAAAGGTCTAGTATGGTGCAAGCACTCAAGATTCTTGTGCGAAGAACAAAACAAAATATAACTTGATGAAGAGAATCCCCCTTTCCTTCCCTCTCCCTCCTCGCCCCCCCCCCCACCCACCCCCCACACACACAAATTAGAGACAAACAAGAGTGGTTTACTTCAAATCTCACAGCGCTTGAAATGTCATGCAAAGTTACCATACCCCAGAAGGAAAGCACAATGTATTATATAAAACAATCCTGACTTGTTTGAGCCCCACCATAACCCAATACTCAAATAGAACAGGACTGGAAGCTGTATTCTGGAATAATCATTCATTATTTGAAAGGTCAATCTAG